AGAGCATATAAACCAATACAAATCACAATAATATTTAAAATTATAGAGGAAGAGATAACCAGTACAAAGAGGGATAACTCTATTTGAGGACTTGTTTGGTTTCATCGGAAATTTTTAACACTAAATACTGTTATAAAAGTACGTGTCGTCTAAATGGATAAGTGTTGTTACTTTGTTTCTAGGATAAGCCGACTATACCGTCTTAACGCATGGTAATAATAAACACAAAGACTGGCTGATTCTATAGACTAATGTCCATTTGGGAACTTCAAGATTCTTGACCTCTTGATGTCTTTTAGTTTTTTATGTCGGATTTCTGTCTAGTTGGCTCACAGCTTCTATTCATTCATAGAAAATTATATAGATTTTTTTTTCTTTACTTTCTGTATGGCCAATTACTTGCAGTTACATGTACGTGTAGTTGTTACAACAATGTAGGTTATCAATTACTTTATCCTTCACATTTTAGTTCTTTTCTTTGAGGGCTCTACATTTCTCAAGATGCTAAACTCCAACATCGCCACTCTTTCTTGAATTTCCCTTTTTGAGCACCACAGTTCCTAAGTATGTATGGATACCACTTAATCATGGCCATCGCTTTTATTTTTTATCCTTCCCCCTTTTCTAATCTGATCAGTTATCCAGTTGTTGCCAAAAGAATTCTTATAATCTACAATAACCCCTTTTAAAATATCAAAATATACGTGTGTGTTATATAAATTAATTATATGTGTTACAAAGTTCACAGCGTACAACGTTCTTTAATCTATGCGTTTAAATTGTATTCTAAGAACATGTACAAAGGTGTGTATGGGGTTTACAGAACAAAGAATAATGGACAAAAAAAGTAAGAATAGAGAAAAATAGACCAATTGATGAAGAATAGAGAATATGGAGATAATTAGATATAAAATAAACAGAAATTTTTTTTAGAAATTAAGACCCACCCTCGTGTATCAAATATTCAATGAGGTACAATTTTTAATTGTCCATTCATTAAAATGTTAAATGTTTATCCATTAACAGATTTCAATTGTTCATTAACTACACAAATATCTATCCATGCTCGTAGAATCTTAATTCCTTTGGCTAACTTGTATTTAATAATCCTTCATGTAAAGATACGTTGTAAAAAAATGAATAAACGTCTTGCTTACAAGTTATATTTTCGACAAAAAGTTTGATAAAATCTTTTGGAACAGTTGTTGTTATTTTGCATCTGTTATGTGTTAATATCATCAGTTCATACTTGAACACATACAATTTAAAAAAAAAACGATAGAACATTACGAATTGTTGTTTGAAGGGGCGTGTGGTAACGAGAAAAACACATTACAAAACCAGGAAAATGAACATAATCTATTGAAATTGTCGAAACAAAACATTCTTTCCTCCATCTGCTTCATAAAGGAATAACATATATATGGAAGCGGGGATAACACTTAAAAGAAGAAAAACAGTCCTAGCTTGCTTACTCCGCTCTGTTGTAATTTGTACACGAATAGATAAGATCCGGGGACAGACATCCAACGACAAAAATAACCAAAGCACACTAGAAATCAAAACACGGTCTTCAACAAAAGTGTTTAGTCAAGTTCTAAATCGTTCCGAGCTTGTGTGCATATGCAAATTAAAACTATTCCTATTAGTGATGTATGCATACAAATAACATAAACATAATAGATTACAAACGATTCAAAACAACAAAGATACAAACAGTAAATGCTATAGGACTGGGAATCCGGGTCCGATCGCCCTAATTCACGTTCGCCCTAGTACCTGTTCGCCTTGATACCTGTTCGCCTAAGACTGGTAATATTATTCTCCATTCTCAATTCTAATGGATGTTACTATTTCAATATCGTTTAATTGGTGCTGACGGATTTAGAAAGTTTTTATGCTAAGAAATTAAAATCATCATCTACAGTTTTAAAATTCGCTAAAAGATTAGTTCCTTTAAAGTTGAAATCAAACGTATCAGGGGTCCAGATTCCTTCCACTGGAGCTGGGAGCCCAAGACCCTGTCATTGGAGCCCGGATCTTAATGATTGGCTGCCGGAACCCTATTAATGGCAACCGGAGCCATTTATGGAACAAGTCCAGAAATTAATGGCAACCGGATCCATTGATCGAAGGAGTCCAGAACCCATTATTTAGAACCTGGAGCACAACGGTACATTTAGGATAGGGTTCGCAGTCCAGAGCCTATGTTATCCCAGACTGTTTCATAGCAAACGTGCACTTATAAAATTTTTTAAAATAGTTACATGTCGCGTACTCATCTGCGTATACAATGCATCTTTGGCTCAATTTAACACTTGTCTTGTAAAAAGTAAAAGCTTATAAACTTAAAGATACAATATAAAAGTAAACGTGTAAAGAATTGTTTTCTTTTTTTCAAATAAATCTTTCAATAAAAATATCTTTAAGTTTTACCATTTAAATCTATCATGTTGTTATCTTTAATCATGTTAATAGCTTCATAAGTAACTATTTGTCGCTTGTAGTTAAGCAACAAACAATCAATTAATCTTAAGTAAATATCAAATTGAACCGATTTACTGGTCAATATCTGGGTCATTGTTGTTTTGGCAAATTCATAACTATTTTTGTTATTCACTTGTGATTACATTAATTATGAAAGAACTGTTAATTGCAATCTGTCAAAATATTTTTAAGTACAAAAACTTACTTTAAATAAATGTAACATAAACAGCAGTAGTTGTCCTTTTCTAGATTTAGACATTTCAATTTCTAACGGGAAACTCCATACAAAAGTTTACGACAAAAGAGACGATTTTTCACTCCCTATTGTTAATTTTCCTTCTTCAGACGGCGATGTTCCTTTGGCTCCATTATACGGTGTTTTAAATATCCCAACTTGTTCGTTATGCCCGTGTGTGTTGTAATGTCTTTAGATTTTAACGAACGTAGTCAATGTATTGGAGTTTAGTATGACGTCCATTATCACTGAACTAGTATACTTATTTGTTTAGGGGCCAGCCTCCGGGTGATGATCTTTTGTCGTTTTTCTTTTCGGCCATGTTTGATCAGCTAATATAGCAGTGATATCATATTTCTGTGTATAGAGAGGTAAACCCTTGCGTTCTGTTCCCTGTAAGCAGCGCGTTAAAATATGATTAAGTTTTTAAGTCTTTCATAAAGCAAAATCCCTATCCATACAACAATGTTATCCTTGATATTATGCTTTAATACACAAATAATCGCTGCACTTTAAACATCTATCTTCCAATCAAATTCGGTGAAGCCATGGCGAATAATGAACTGTTTTCTACGGTCTTGTCGCTCCTTCAGACCAACTCTGTTTTCACAGCATCTGTCAGCTAGTATCCCTATATTGTGAATTATCATCCTAGGGAACCTCATTTCGTGGATTTTGTAGGTATTCATGATCACGAATTTAAATGTTCAACAAAGTGCACATTTTCTATAGGCGCTCGTTGGCAAAACCACGATATCAAGTATCCACGAAAATACAACTATTCCTCGATCCACGAAAATTGTTACTTACGAAAACAAACGAATCCACAGTAGTTTTTTCTTTATTTTGAACACCCAAAGTTTTCAGTTTTTCATGTTTTGCATACATGAAAATGGCTTCGAAGAATCAAGGAAAGTTTTTCTTCACATATCAAATAAGTTACATTTAATTTGAGCGATGTCGCTGTTGATCACAATGGTTGCTTGAGTATACAAATATGGTCATCTCTAAACGTTTCTGTTCCAGCAGTCAAACCCTTTCTAAAGTAGGACTTTACATTCGATTTCTAGTGTAGACAGAGTTCCAAACAATCTGCATGTTAAAGTCCCCTTGCAACAACTTTATTAGGTGTCAGAAGGTGGCTTTACAATTTCTATCATGCAAGAAAATTATATTCGTTTTTACACGGACGAAAAAAAGGCAATTCAGGAACTTACAATTCAGTGTTTGTCGTTTGTTGCTGTATATTATAATTGTTGTTCGTTTTTTGCTTTATACATAAATCAGGCCGCTTGTTTTCCGGTTTGAAATGTTTTTACATTTGCCAATTTGCAGCCTTTAATAGCTTGCAATGCGGTATTGGTTTTCCTCGTTGATGGCCGTATGGTGACCTATTGTTGCTAACTTTTACGTCATGTGGTTTCTAGTGGTGAATTTACCGATGTTCAAATCTCTTAATCTATTAAGATAACAAACACAAAATGATGAAAACTCAAACAGATGCGAAACTGCGTGCGTCGACAGGGTAAGCGTCTCTTGTTATGCACGCTTCACCCGCATAGAACATGTTTTATTGTTAATCAAAAGAACGTAAGATATATTTTTGGCAAACCTTTTCTGAATTTGGAGTCCACTTCACACTTGATTAGGCCTTTAAACTTGTTTCATTCGAGCGTCATTGATTAGTCTTCTGTTGACGAAACGCACGTCTGGCTTCCGAAATTAAAACCCTGATTTTTTTTGAACCATTTGATTTTGTTTACAACTTTTATACACCAGTATCAATTCTTTGATAGGAAATAGAGATTGAACAGTAGAAAGGTTCTGGATTACTCATAATTTGAAGAACGTTTTATTAATAAACCTGTTTTAACTGTCATATTTCAAGCAAATGACCTAAAAATAAACGCTAGTAAAATGTTAGATCCACAATAATACAATGACGTGCTAGTTTTGTATTGCTTGCAGACATTTTACAAGGTGCTATTTTTAATATCAACAATTCCAATAAATAAATTAAAAAAAGAAGTTTTATTATAAATCTAGCAACCTTCGGGAAATATGATTATCATATTTGTGTACCATATGTAGAGAAACATCAATCATTAGACGAGTTTCGATGATATAAAGGGACAAAAATAATGTTGGTGAGTAGTGTAAATAAAGACTGATTGGTACGTATTGTTAGAAATTTATTATAATTATTATTAATATTATTATTATTATTATTATTATTATTTTTATTATTATTATTATTATATAACTTCATAACATTATGATATGTTTATTTCATACAGATTCAAAAGAGTAAACATGGTAAATGGAGATGCATTTTAATATGATAAGATCGCAAATAATCAAATATCTGATTATCTTTTGTCCAAGGAATACAAAAAAAAGTATAAAATTTATTGACAGACATCAGAAGTTTCGTTTTGTTTCAATAAATCATTTATGTGTTTGCAATTATTTATATTTTTTGATAGGAACTTAAATTTTATGAAAATCGTCAAAAATACCCTCGTTGTGCTTTCTCTACTTAATATAGTGCTGTTTTTTTCAACAATTGAAGTGATGTCTTATTAACAAAACAGTTCTAAATGTATTGTATGTTTCAGGAAGATGTTATGTTACATAGGTATATGCTTTTTTGTCTCGGTTTTATTAACCACTGTAAACGGAGTTATGGATGTCGAAGCACGGATAACATCTGTGGACAGAGTAAGCGCCTTGGCTGCCCAACGAACCATAACAAAAGTGTTGTGGGTCAACAATGGAGGGCCATGGGGAACATGGAGTCGTCCTGAATTTTGTGCAAAGGGTTATTTTGCAAGTGGATTCTCTTTGAAGGTTAGTTGTTTTCTATGAAAATAAGACATGGATATATCCACTGAATATCACGTATTATGCACGAGTTCTGTTTTGCACCTCTTGTGCTGCTTGGTCAATCGATTGCAGAAGTGTCTCTGAAAAGATTTGCCTTTTACAATTTATTTTTTACTGTAAATAAATTGTATTAAAGTCTAAAGTTGGACTTATCACTATGAGACTACATGTTTGTCGGTCCTGTAGCTAAGGTTGCAACTCACTCAGGCGAAAATGATCTAAGACGATATTAGCTGTTCTTCTTTTGCCCTTTGTGATTTTGATGCTCTTTACCATTTTGTCTATTCGGTATTTAGCTCTTTGATTCCATCGTTCTTCCTGAGGGTTCTCCTAAAAATGCATCATTTGCGCAGTGACTTCGTGCCATGCTATGTTTATCAAACATGTCAAAAACAACCATTTTCATCTTAATTTTTCTTGTTTCTAATGTAAGCAAATATTGTTAAAGAAAATGACATTAAAAGATAACAAAGCTAATACAGGAAATTTTCCGGTATGATCTTTTACTAGGAGGTCAACCTGAGTTAGAGTTCAAGGACATACCTCTTAAAAGCAATGGTTTGTTTGTGTTGCCCATTTTCCTTAAATTATTCTAAGCGTATAGTAAGTAGAATATTATATTTTGATTCTGTTTCACATAAATGCCTACAAGACATTGATAAATTTATTAGTTTAAACAGTATTTATTATTGAAAAATTATAAAAATAGGCGAAAGATACCAAAGGGACATTCAAACTTATAAATCGAAAATAAACTGACAACGCCATGGCAAAATAAAAAAGGAAAATGAGACCAAAAGACAAACAACAGCACACAAAACACAACTGGGAAATTGAAGACTGAGCAACACGAACCCCACCAAAAACCAATATAGTAGTACAATTTATCATAGCAGTTAAATATGGGATTCAAGAAACAAGTTTGGAAAAACTTTTATAAATCTGACCCTGACTATTACAAACGCATCCTTAACCCGCAAGGGTAACCTCCCTCAACATTTTCAACGGACTTGAATTATATTTTAAACAAACAAACCGGTCCTCTTTGATGAAAATTGGTTATAACATCTATTTGTTTACTATCTACGTCGTCTGGTCTGCTAAGTACCGAACGTGACCTATTCCCGAATATGACTGTTTCGCCGCGTGTGAATTCGCATTGCTATACGACGTGTCTCTGTATTTTTACATCCAACATTCATGTATTTAGTTATGATGTTTCTTTTGTACGTCTTGTTAGATATTGTGTTATGTTTTATTTTTTGTGGTTTGAATAATGTATTTTCGGGACATTTCACATATGTAATATTTGTCAGTATAGTCGAGTTAAACGTGGTTCGTCTACAGTGTTTTTGTTTTATGTTGTTTGTTTTCAAGTATGATTACTATTTGGTCTTACATCATTTTGCCTTATATTACAGTTATTTTATTATAATTTTCTATATGTATGTAAAAGTTAAGATAATTAATCAGCTATTTCATTTATATGATTTTTAGTTTAAAGCAACTATATGCACAGGATTTTTTTTATACACAGTTTTGATTTAGAAGAAAGACGACATGGTTATAAGAAAATACGAATAATAACACCATTACAAACACAATTCCATTTTAATATTCTTGTCATGGATAGAAAATACATAAAATAACTCCATTACAAACTCAATCGTGTCTACAATAAAACAAATCTATTCTATTCTTAGAAACTTACCTGTGATAATATGAACGTCACAAAAAATACGGCCAGGGGAAATATGAAATTGCTAGGATGGTCAATTTTCAAAATAACAAACGGCTTCAACTAATAATGTACAAACTTTTTGCTGAAAGTTTGGCTTAAGAAATTTATTTGACATAAGTATGTTTAGTTCTGATACATTGTACATTTTAATACTCCTTCAGAGAAAAGTTTAGTATGCTATTTTCTTCAACATTGTTCAATTAGTGTTGTTTTATACATCTTCTTTAGATTGAAGGAAGACAAGGAAAAGGAGACGATACTGCACTAAATGCTATACGCTTAAAATGTCGAAAGGGAAATAACTCTCCTAATACTGGTGGAACTATTTGGGCCCATGAAGGACGATGGGGTCAATGGTCCAGAACAATGAATTGTCCCTCTGGTAAACGTTTTGTTGGATTTCGTTTACAGGTTGAAGCTAGACAGGTAAATAAAAATATTGTAAAATCTGTATACTTTAAATGTCTAATGACAGATCTAACTTCATTTGGTTTTTTGATAACATAAGTCTTGCGTTACGTGGTGAAAAATTTGCAGAAGTGCTGAACTACTCAGATGAAAAAGTACTACCTGCTCAAGAAACTTATATTTTGCATAATCCTATACCAGAGTTATTGCCTTATAATATTACTGTATGATTAAAAAATGTGATTAACAAAAATTTATAATTTCCATGAAATTGTGCTTTCCGGGATGATATTTAAACATCTTCTTAAATCAGTGATATCCATACCTGTTTAAGGTAATTTAGATATAATATGACAAATTTGGGCATGTTTCTTTAGAATTTGATATCAAAGGACGTCAATAACCAACATGAATTAAATGTGTCTGAAAAAACAAAACAAAGCTTTACTTATAATTTGGGTTTTGGTTGAAGGTGTCCTTTTTGTGCTTTTTTCTAATAGATACTCAAAATTTGTCAAAATCTTTCAAAACTGCAGTTTTGAGAAGCATATTTAATTTGTTTCATGTAAACAATACGACATATAATCGATGATGGCAATGTTGTTAACTTACCATTTCAAACTACTCTTCCACACAAAGAAAGTGGAAGAAAATACAAAGGGAGACAACCAAAACCATACACTGAAGAAAGACGATAACATAATAGCTAATAGAAATTAAAAAAAAAAACAAACATACATGTACTACTGTAATTTTTTTAAAAGATTGAAACATTCTTTAAAAAATGAAAACAACACATTATAAATTCAATGCGTCCAAAGCGCTTTTCTGGATTTACCGTCATCAGGAACGCTCTAAACCGAATATTTGAAAGCAAAGGTGACATATTAATATAAGCACTTACGTGTTGCTTGTTTCTTAATCTATTTGCCACAGTGTTAATTTATATTGTATAAGATGTATCTAATTTCATGAAGATAAATGAAAACAACACGTTATAAATTGCATGCGTCCAAAGCGCTTTTCTGGGTTTATCTTTAAAAATGTGGTTTACACTCAAGCAAATGATATATAAGAAACTGAAACAGTCGAAGAGTTACAAGACCACAAAGGACCTTAGAGGATTCAAAAATTCCAAAACTTCAAAATAAATTCAGGGGATATTAAGAATACACATTTCCTACACACTTAAGGCTCAGATTCCGCTCAAACACGGGGATTATTTATGCCACCCACAAGTATAATACATATACTAAAAGCATTTTTGAATGATTGGTTAATTTGTATATTGCTCCATGCATTTTACACAGAATGAATTGATATTCAACGGATTTTGCGGCGTCAAGTCTTGAAGTCCTTTTTTATTAACACACATGAAATTATAATGGTAAACATATCATGAGAATCATTTAACGATGATTCAAGTTGAAAAAAATATTTTAAAAAACTAAAAATAATGAATAAATATTTGCTTCAGGGGAAAGGAGATGATACAGCGGCAAACTATTTTAGGTTTAGGTGCAGAAGGTTTAATGGTGGAGCAACACATAGAATAGGAACGAAAGGATTGTGGGGAAAATTTGGAGCATGGAGTCAAACATGTCCTCGTGGGTCTGCAGTATGTGGATTAAAAGTCAAAATTGAACGACCCCAAGGGAAAGGCGACGACACAGCACTGAATAACGCAAAATTTTATTGTTGTACATAATAAATAAATAATTTCACTTTCTGCTTTCACATTCTAAGTACATTCACCATGGTAACATTTTGCAGTAATTCATCACATCCCGATTTTGGACTTCATCGCAATTTTTCTGTATTGTTTTGAAAACTTATTGCAAACAGAATAGCACATCTTAATTTTTACGGAGATGCTGTTTATCGAGCCCGGAATTTTATTTACGACCCAGGTAAACTTATCGATCCTTTAAATAAACTTATTTCAAATGGTAACCAAATTCAACACTGTAACTAGATCTTTGAATTTTGTTTTTATTGGTATAAATGTTGAATTTGTTATCAGTAAATTAAAATCAAACTGAATAGTATTATTATATACATATGCACATTCATGGCTCTACAATATGTCGATACCTGAATCACAAGATCATGTTTTTCCTTGACTGTTAATGACGTTTCGACACTAAATCCATTGTTGGATGTGTACTAATTGATATTTAAGCCGAAGATGCATGATTTTTTTATTAGTTGTTATAAGCTTTGAACTATCTGTAAGTAACTGCGAGTAATCTCAGATCTGATTTGTTGCGCGGATGTAAAAATACCCTGCCTCGTTTGGGTCTTGTTTTTGTTAGATGTCTTGTCTGCTTTGTATCGATCGGCCCTTTTCAACTGATTTTTAAAGTTTGTTCTTTTTTAGTACTGTTACACCACTGTCCCAGTTTCAGGGGAGGATTTGGCGCCAAAAAACTAGTTTAACCCTGCCAAATTCTGTATGTGCCTGTCCCAAGTTTGGAGCCTGTAATTGAGTGTTTGTCGTTTGCTGTTTTATATCATATTTGTTTTTCGTTCATTGTTTTGTAACAGACCATTCAAACATATGAAGATGGTCGTCTAATTGACTGCACAAGATTTATTCAATATGCAGTCACATCTTGTCTAATTGATGACGTATCTGGAGATATGAAATGTATTCTGGACATGCCGGAGCCCTTTTTGTGAACTCTTACTGATTTTTGTGATTTTACTTTTTACTGACGGAAGTCCATCTGGACTGTACAATATGTATAACTTGGTCCTACACAGAAATTATGGTTCATGTTGGTCATATATCTCTTCACCTGTTTCGTTTTTTATATATCTTTGACTTTGAGTGTTGACATTAAAGGTAAATCCTGAAAAGGGTTTTGTTTTTGTTTTTTTTTTAAATTCCCGTTCTGAACACATGTATGTAGGAAATTATTGCCACTAGAACTGAGACAAGCAACATTCAATTAATCATTCAATCTATTTGGAAAGACATTTTAGTTAGATATGTATCTGATGTTTGCTGGGATTAGGTTCACCAAGGGCCAATATTAGCTTAAGATCGAGTTTATTTATTATATATATTTCATCTATTTGTTTAGAAATTTTCAAATAAAATATTCATTAATATCTGACAAATACAGAATCGATATATTCTGACATATTAGAACGTTAAATATATGATAATAGGCAAACTTATGAAGAAAATCATAATTTTGACTTACTTGATGGCTACATTTTAAAAACTTTTTCTTTAAACAACGATATGACATGCTGATGTTCCCAGCATTTTTTAATCTTTCTTTCTTCATAGATGCCTTACCCCTATTTGGTACAACCGTTTGGATTTTTTTATATTCAATGCTCATAAATCCATTATTTGATTTCGCTTACCAACCAATATGATTCGAACGCTACTGGTGAGTTATATGTAGACGTCACGTGCGTTTAGCATAACAAATTATAAGCAAAGTATCTTTGATGAGCTTTTAAGTACCTTCGATAAATTGTTAGAGCGTGTGTCACATCGATATGTCTGGAACCTTAGAAGAGGATTTTATCATAACGAAGGAGTCGTACCTTTTCAACAAGTTCTTTTAATAACAGTCTACACATGTTTTGAAAGAGAGGTAGAAGATATCAAAAGGGGGGGGGGGGGGGTGAATACCCACATATTCAAACTCATAATTCGAAAACAAACTGACAACGCCAAGGCAAAAAAAAAACTTGCAGAAAAGGATTCGTGTAATTAGGTAGTTGTAAAGTATGCATTTATTTTATTTTGTTGGATACAAACACATCCAATTAAGGATAGTATATAAATAATAGAACTTAAAAAGTAGAAAAAAATGACAAGTCTGTGTCCTTGTTTATGAGATATAATCAATCAAACGTTTGGCGGGAAATCATTCTCTCCAGATTTTTCATACATTTAACATTGGTACCTTTTTTCAAAACTATGAAAAAATAACAAGGATTTTATATAATTTTTAAAATGGCTTTTTAAACTATGTCATCAATTAAGAATTAAAAAGTAGGGGATAGCGGACAAAATTTTTATTGGTACTACATGAATAAAACTAGAGGATTCCAAATGTCGGGCAAAAAAAAAACAAGAGTAGCGAACATCCTTAAGTGGTCACCTCTTTCCGTGATGACTTCACACAGTTTTAATCATTCTTGTTTTTATTTGTGTCACTTAGTGTTTCTCTGATTGACGTTTATGTATACTTATCATCTTTATCAATAGTAAAAATCGAGACTGTGTATGGTTAGTTAAGTAGAAATAAACCGAAAGCTCAAATCTGCTAGTTTCTAATGAAAATAAAACAAAACCCTTATGTTTTCCTATTCACATAATAAAGACTCTGTTCCGTGCAAAATAGGAACCAAAAATGTTGAACTTTGAAAATAAATAAATATACTTAGTTCGTTTTTGTGTCATTGTATTATTTCTTCCTGTTTTATCCGAAAAACCAACGAAACAATATTTCTCATAAAAGAACTGTGCCTGTCCATAGTCAGGAGCCTGTAATTCAGTGGTTGTCGTTTGTTGCTGTTTATCATCTTTGTTTTTCGTTCATTGTTTTGTACATAAATGAGGCCATTAGTTTTCTCGTTTGAATTGTTGTCCATTTGTAATTTCAGGCATTTTATAGCTTACTATGTGGTATGTGTTTTACCCATTGTTGAAGGCCGTACGGTGATCTGTAATTGTTAACTTCTAAATTTTTTTGTACCTGGTGGAGAGTTGTCTCATTGGCAATCATACAAAATGTTTTTATATTTATACGTCCAAAAAAGAAAGAAAATACCATAGATTGACAAAAGCCATAGCCAAAAAATGAGTTCATGAAACACAAAGAAAGTTCCACAAAACACTTCGCCCTCGGTTCTGCAACTTTACACAAAATTTTGGGAGATCTCGAATGCCATGGAAAGACAATTAGTTTCTGCTCAACACTGCTCTAACAAGTGTCACCCGGGTGGAATAATTTCATAGTATTACATAATAGTACAAGTGCAAAAATAATGTACGATTTATTTCATTTAACATAAATTTAAAAACAGTTTTCTGAAAGAACAGTGCGTCATGACCGAACATTTTAAGCATTATAAGATGTTTGATATTTTTCTAAATTTAATAAAATATATAAATTCGGTGCGTTTGAAACGCTTGTCTGGATTATTCTGCATTGGGATCGTTCGGAACTAATTAAGTGCACGCCATGGATGTATGAAAAAAGATACAAAAAGTCTATCCAAAGCTTGTTATGTTACAATTAATTGTAATATTCCTCATATTCATGTAAGCAAACTGCAATATTATTTATAACTTGTATTTTTTTTTATAATTCATTATACAAAATATATCTTTGATTTTAAATCACCTTGGATACAAAAGCCATAGACAATCAAAACGTAGCATGGTCGTCTCTTTAGCATCACTATGATTTCAACGTATTATTTTTCAAGAATGACTTGATAGCGTAATTGGCATTGCAGAGAAGATAAGAAATTTTCTTTAAAGTTTACTTAGGAGGATTTTTTGTAGATACTGATATCGTTTTTTTTTTTTTCATTTATTTCTTTTTAGGGGAAGGGGTCGTGTTATATATATGAGGTTATTTTCCCACTATAAAACATACAACGTTGTATTCAAATTAAACTAATAATTTGATATCTATTTTATGAAACAATGAGATGAACTAATGACATTGTTGCCAAAGAGTGACAAGATGTAGGCTAAACTATGTAATTACATACTAGACATGACAATAAGAAGGTGCAAATACTTATTTGTTACGAGCCTACATGTACATGTTGTATATTATGCATATAAACACGATCCATTATAGATTATGTTATAATTATAACGTACAGAATCTATAACAAAATGTCCAAACTTACTTTGATTCTATTTATATAAAAATTAGGCGATTTGGTATGATTGTCAATGAGACAACTATCCACTAAAGTTCAAATGAAGTGGATGTAAGTAATTATGGCAACCATACGGCCTTCAACAGAGAGAAAAACTCATACCGTATTGTCGGCTATAAATGGCCCCGACATGAAAAATATGAAACAAATCAATTGAGAAAACTAATAGCCTAATTTATAACAAAACAATTAACGAAAAACAAATATAACAGAAATGAACCAACGACTACCACGGAACTACAGGCTCCTGACTAGGGACAGGCACATAAAGAATGTGTTAGTTGTTTTCTGATATTACATGTAGTCCTTAACATATAAGTGTCCGGGAAAGATACGTATTTCTTTTCTGTTCTGAATTGGTCTATATACAGTCACAATACGCAAAATGGAAGGACTTATAGAACGAACGAAATGACTGGCCTGCAGTGTCATGTAAAATGATCCACTAGGGACATATTTCGAAACTGAATGGTGAGACATTTGTGTAAATAGAACTCACACATTGACAATTAATATACCTAAATGCAAGAATTTTTTAAGAGCAAGGCTTACAAGCATGCATGTAACTCTTAGTATTTCATTTCGAATGCATGCTTCTTTTTCAGACGACGATTTTTGATATTTATTTGGCTAACACTATAACAGTTCATTTAGATACATTTTTCAGTGTTTTTTTGTCCTTAGAAAGCTTCTTATTTATAAAATGATCATATATACCAGGCGTAAACTTTTGTACGACAGATGCTCATTTCGTCTACAAAAGACCATGAAAATACGCTCGAATAAAAAGAGTTAAAAAG